TTCCTCGCAGGGCTTTGCCTCCGGTCCCTGGGCCACCCTGGCTGCCCTCCTCTGCGCCCTCTCTGGCTGTCCTGCGTCTTTTTGATGTGGGGGGGGGGGGCGGCCGTCTGCCACACTGCCCCAGATTGCATTGGTCTTGGGCCAGCTGTGGCCCCTGGACAACACTGTGGAGCGGTAGCCCCACTGCTCTGTGGGGAGGGTCCCTCAGTGGGCTGTCCGAGGCCCCCCATGCACGACCGGGCCGTGGGACTGGAGCAGGCTCTGCCCGCCTCCACTGGGAGCCTCGTCTGCTGGGCGGCTCGGAATCCTGCTGGGAATGTGCACGGCTTCCTGGGAGCCTCAGGGGGTCTGAGCAGGCTCTGCCGAGGTGGCCTGCAGTGGCCGCGCTGCCGGGTGGCCAGGAGAGGCTGCAGCCGTCCTCGCCCTCACCAGCAAGCCCTGCAGAAATCCAGCCATGGCAACGCCGAGAGGGAGATTTTGGATCGGACCAGAACCGGGGCTCCGCCTTCCTTGCCTGACCAGGCAACGGGACCGTGTGATGCCAAAGCACAGTCATGAACCGGCGCCTTCCCAGCGCAGCACAGCCCCGGAGGAAGGGGCCTGAAAGGGGCCTCCAGTCCAACCCAGACCCGTGCGGAGCGAGTCCCGTGGAACTGAAGGGACGGGGCTGCCTCGTGGGAGAGGGGAAGAGCCACGAGCCGGGCCCAAGCCTCGCTACACCCCCAGCTGCCCTCAGCCTGCCCAGAAGGGCCCCACACGCCCTTCCTTTGGGGTTTGCACACTCAAAAGCAGTGGGGCTGTGGCTCGGCAGGCCGTGCTGACTGACCTGGGGCACGTCCTGCCGTCTTCTCACCTGAGGCAGCTGGGCGGGCACTGAAGCAAACACTTCCGGGAGAGGCCTGGCGGTGCCACGGAGCCAAGGGTGCCTGGCCTGGAGAAGGAAAGGCTTGATGGAAGCAGGGCCTCTTTCCAAGGCCAGGCAGGCTGTCAAGGACAAGACGCTCTGGGGGCATTCGGACACTTGGGGACACAGCAAGCAGGGCTTGAGGAGCTGGGCCAGGGTCGAAAGCAGTGATGGCCCAGAGGGCCGAGAGGTGGCTGCTCCGTGCTGGCCTGGCCAGCACCCAGCCGGCCTTGGGGTATTGCTAGCATGGAGGATGAGACCCACACATGCATCTCTGACATGCTCTGGGACCAGGTGGAGATAACACAGCCAGAGGTCAAGGTGGTTTCTGGCACAGAGCGTCCCTGCATGGCCAGCATCGTGTGCCTGCAGCTCAGCAGTGACCGGGAGCTGCAGGCTCAGGTGGCGGTGCTGCAGCTGGCTCCAAGCTGGACCCCACGAAGCTTCGGCAGAGGCCGCTCCCCGTAGGAGCCTGGTGGGCGAAGGCGGCGTGGGCATGTGTCGGGCGCAGGAGGTGGTCCCGGAGGCGCAGCGCTGCTCTTGTGGGCGCGGATCTTGGGCAAAGCTGCTCAGGGCAGCAGTGGCATTGGCTCCAGCGCCCGTCTGGTCTAGCATCCCGCCAAAGAAGTGCCTTCGGGGTGTCCACGAGCAGGACAGAAGAGCAGCCCATCTGACCACGGCCACTGCTCTGAGAGAAAATGCTCATCATCAGGACCATCACAAAAACCTCCTCTGAGCACCCTTTAAACACAGAAACAGAGTGAGTCAGAAGGGGTCTCCCGGGCCATCTAGTCTGACCCCCGGCTCCAGCCGGCCCCGCTCACGACATCTAACCCATCTAATCTGGCAGCCATCGCCACACGTGGGGGCGACGCTTTCCACGGTCTCACTCTGTGCTGCGTGAAGGGCCTCCTTTTCCTGGCCTGCACCTCCCGCCAGTCGGCTTCATGGGACGACCCCTTGGGGAGAGGCAGAATGACGCCTCCTCCTCCACCGCCTCAACATCACGCATGGCTGTGTGGAGGGACCCCCGGCTGCCCCTTGCCACTTGCCCCTGTTCCAGGCTGGTGAGATCCCAGCACGGCAAGCCGTTCCGGCAGGGAGGCTGTACCAGACTTCTGCTCACTTCTGGGCGTCCTTCCCTGCGCAGGGAGGGCAGCGCCGGGGGGGGGATCGCTTCCGTGGGCCGGTGGATGGACCGGCCAGCCCCGCAGGCAGGCCCGGCCCTCGCTATGCACAGCGACCCGCAGCTGCCCCGAGGGGGAGCCCCACAAGCAGGACCCGCGTCTGCTGGCGCCTGCCGCTGCCAGGTGAGCAAGGGGCACGGGGGCAGACGACGGGGAGCTGTCGCAGCATCCCTGTCTCCTCTGTGAAAGGCTCCAGAGGGGCCATGGAGAACCGAAGTTCACTTGCCCCGAGGACTGTGCTCTGGCTCAGCCCTCCAGCAGCCCCACACTTTTTCAGTTCATGGTAGTGGCGAGCTACCCTCCTGGCCATCCCCCACCAATCGGAGCCAAGGCATGGCGCTGACCGCGTGCTCCTGGCCGGCTCCAGAAGGGCAGAGTCTTTTCATTCTTCTGGGCTCTGGGGCTTGGAAGTGAGTTTCGGTGACCAAATAAGGAAAAGGGGAGATTCCAGGCAGTCTCCTGGTCCTTCGCCAGTCAAGAAAGAAGGACACGAGCTGGACAGGACCGGGAAATGGTCGCCAGCGGCTGAGGGAGCGCGGGGCCAGGAGGCGCCTCTCAGTTTTCCTCCGAGCAACTTGGCAAAGAAGTATCTGACTGGAGCATTGTCAGCTTAGAAAAGGGGCTCTCATTGAGGGGGCAAAATCAAAATGCTCACTAGTGGGTGTTTGGAACAGTAAAACCATGGATGGGAAAAGATCCAATGATCCCACCCTGGCAGTCTTCAAGATGCCCTCGGACAGCCATCTGTTGGGAGGCTTAGACGCAGGAGCCCTGCACCGAACAGGGCGCTGGCCGGAGGGCCTTCCGGGCCCCTTCCTGCACCGCTGCTGGATGGTCCCAGGATCCTCAGCTATAAAGGACACAGGGGCCAACCGCAGCCAAGCACGAACCTGGGCGTCAAGAAAGCCGGATCTGGCACCCTCCGAACCATGATCAGCGAGGTGCTGCGGCGACTCACGCGTAAGGGGGAAGGTGCCCAAGAGGGGCGGGGAGTCCATGAACAATTCCGACAAGGAAAAAGGTAGAAAAGAGCAGAGGGAGCCCGCATGGCTCCACAGGAAGCCGCCAACCTGGCAGAAAAAGAGAGCGTGTACGGGAGGTGGAAGCAGGGCCAGGCCACAGAGGAAGCATGTAGACGCACCGCAAGGCACTGCAGGGGCGGCACCAGAAAGGCCACAGCAGGAAACAGAAGCAGAGCAAGTCGGAAGGGGCCTCCCGGGCCATCTAGTCTGACCTCCGGCACCAGCCGGCTCCACTCACAACATGCCCACCATGTGCATGTCCAGCCTGTCCTTGAACACCGGCACCGATGGGGCCTCAACGATGAGCTGAGACTAGCAAGGGATGCTAAGCACAACAAGAAAGCCTCCAGGCAGTCTTCTTATTAGGCATTATACTTGCTGATATTAGTAAACAAGAAATGTATTTGATTTTACATGTAATTACTGCGGTGAGGATTGCATTTGCTCAACACTAGAAAAGTGAAGAACCACCCACTGACGAACCGATCCTAAAAAAGATCTTGGACGGCGCAGAAATGGATAGATTGACTTTGTTGTTGAAGGAGAAAGAAGATACTGATTTCTATCAAACTTGGGACTCTCTTTATTATTGACTAGAGAAACGGGACTTCGTATAGATTTAAATCTGTTTTTAAGTCATCATAAATGGGAAAAAAAATGTGGGGGCTGACCCAGCTGGTCCGATGTTTTTGATGATTGATGTTGTTTTTATTTAGGGTTATAATTTTGAATAAAACTTACTATAAAAAAAGAAAGCCTTCAGGCACATCCAGAACAAAAGGCATGAGGAAGAGGAGGGTGCCCAGCCCCTTGCAGCGGACGGCAGCGTGATAACAGAGGGCAAGGGAGCGGCGGAGGCACTCGGTCCCTCCTTCGCCTCGGTTGTCCCTCAAGAACGACTACGACCAAGAGGAAGGACAAGCTGCAGGTGCGACAGGGCCGCCCAAGACTGGCAGGCAGGTGGCCAAGGAGCACCTAGCTGCAATAAACACATTCGGGTCCCCAGGGCCCGGTGGACTCCATCGCAGTGTCAGGACAGAGCTGGCGGAGGAGCTCTCGGGACCACTGGCTGGTACCTGCGATCAGCTTCCAGGCGCGAGATGGCTGGGGAAGGGCCGACATTGCCCCACCCGCAAGAAGGGGAGAAAGGATGGACCGGGAACTACGTGCCAGTTAGTCTGACATCAATCCTGGAATAATTCTGGAGCAAATTGCTACAAAATCAAGAATAAATCCTGTCGGAGTCATTTAATCTCAGGTTTTGACTGGGTAACAGGGACCATGATCAGAGATCTTCGTAACGTGTGCGCAGAGAAGGTGAGGACCGGCAGCGCAAACGAGGAGGCAGGCCGGCCGGCCGGAGGGGCACAGGGGTGTCCCGCTCTGGCTCTGCTCGGCCCATCTGGCGCGCCGCACCGGGGCCAAGCAGACGATGAACGTGTGAAGGGGGAACGGATCGCGGGCCTCGGCGCGCCCCGCCCCCGCCAGCGCTTCGGGGGCCACGGCGGGGCCGTGGCCGGGCGACCTCCTCGAGCAGGGAGTGTCCAGCCGCGCCCCAGCCCGCCCCCCGGCGCCGCCCCCCTCGGCGCCGCCCCGTCCCGTCCCGTCCCGTCGACGCCCCGGTGGGGCAGGCCG